ATGAGGCTGAAGGTGTCAAAAAAGGCCAAACGCCAACAGGGCGATCGTGTATATCTTTGAGTGCCAGTATAGAGTCCAAGACTTTCTTGGAAGAAGGGTGGCACAAAGTAGATGAATCTGCCTTTCCAACTTTTACTACCAGCAGGCCTAGAGCAACGCCGGGGTATAAACCTGCCGGCCTCAGGCAATGTTCTGAGGAGGACCGCCAAAGGTGGTCGAATGACCAGTACAGATTTCCCCCTTATCAGTACCAGGCAAAGCATTGCCTCCAAAATTCAAAGGGGCATTTGAGATTGCCCTCGATTCAGGAAAGAGAGGTGATCATGGGATTCCCAAAAAATTACACTGTGAATTGTTTCAAGAAAAGCGACCAGGGTAGCCAAGCTCACCTGGACGCGCGACTTACTCTGGTAGGCAACTCGTGGAACGTCACGGTGGTTGCCTGGTTGTTGTCACAGCTGGGTGAGATACGGGGGTTGAATGAGCCGCTGTCCCTTCAAGAAATTGTACAAAGGACCTCTCCGGGTTGTGCAAAGGATCTGGCGACATTTTTGCATCGCCCGCCTATGAATTCAACTCGTGGGCAAAGCTCACGAGAGCAGGCTCTTGCGTTGGTGCGAAAGCTGCTTACCATGGTTAGTGTCAAAGGCGAAGATATTTCGCTGCAAACTTCCAGTGATGATTTAGTCAAGTATCACCGTCTCCGCGCCAGTATTCCGGCAAGATTGTGGCGTTGGAAGACAGTGGCTGGCTGGAAATGGACTGGCCAGCAAGAACACATTAATTCACTTGAAATGCGTGCCGTCCTTACGGCGCTGCGGTGGCGTTTGGAGCGTCACAAAAAGGTCCATGCCAAATTCGTGCACTTAGTAGATTCTCTTGTAGTACTTCATTCTTTAAGTAGAGGGAGATCGAGCTCCCGCAAATTGCGAAGAACCATCCTCCGAATCAATGCCTTGCTGTTGGCCACGCGCTCCCAAGCCGTGTGGACATATGTCCATACGAAGCAAAATCCAGCGGACGCGCCAAGCCGCTGTCCGCGAAAAAGAAAATGGGCAAAATGCCGCGACGACTCTTAGAAGGTGCTACGCCAGCAGACAGGGCAAAACGTCGGAAGGAGTTAGGTTCTTTGAAAAATTTGACTGTACAGCCAGTTACAAAGGCACGTTATGAGAAGGCACGGACCTCTTTTTATGAATGGTTGCGCCAAGAAAACTTGGTTCTACCGTCGTCCGCTTATCAGCTGGACCTTGTAATCTCAGATTATCTCGAGGCCTTATGGGCCACAGGAAAGGGCCGAACCGAAGGTTCGAACCTAATGGCTGCTGTACAGGATGCTGACCCTCATCTCAAAGGCAAGCTTAAGCTTAGCTGGAGACTCATGAAAGCCTGGGTCACAAATGAGGTGCCAAATCGCGCCCCACCCTTATCTCTGGATGCCTTGTATCTCATTACTGGGTATTCCCTTTTCAAAGGATGGGACCTATTTTCCCTTAGTTTATTGCTAGGTTTTCATGCTTTACTCCGTACTGGAGAGCTCTTGGGAATTAAAGCAAGACATGTTTCTGTCACATCAGCCAAAGGGCCCGCTGTGATTTCTTTGGGATTGACAAAAGCCGGGAAAAGGCAAGGCGCTGCAGAAAGTGTCACTGTACATTCAGAAGATGTTTGCCGTAGGCTTTTTCAGTGGAAGCAATCTTGCAAAGCAGATGCCTCCTTGACTGGGGCATCCCATAAATGGAGAAAACGTTTCTCCGATGTTCTCACTGCAGTAGGCCTGGACCATCTGGATTTCCGCCCTTATTCGCTCCGAAGAGGGGGTGCAACTCATCATTTTCAAGTACATGGGCGGTTTGATAGTCTGTTAGTTTTAGGACGATGGCAATCTGCAGCTACCGCTCGCATCTATATCAATGAAGGCATGTCAGTTCTTACGGAAATGACTTTGCCGTGGACCAGGTTTACACGAAATCTACGAAGCCAATACCTCACCAGTCTCACAAAACCTTTAGCCAAGCTTGAGCTTACGAAGATTCCTTCGCAGAACAGGGGACGTTGGAAGAAGAGCAAAAAAGGAACACAGGGGGATGTGTTTCCTAAAAATTGGGTGGAGATCTCCAGTTTCCTCTGGGTTTGGCCGGGTGCTGGAGTGACCCAAAGTATACCTTGGGAAAGATTCACCTTGGGTTTGGCCGGGTGTTTCTTTGGGTATCAAAGGACAGGGATCCTTTCAAATAAATGCTCCTGGGGAGGATATATTTTTTGCGGATTTTGAAGTTTTTTGACAAATTTGGTCTTGCAGAGCTGTGCTAGAAAAAGGGTGCCCCGTGAGTCTTTGGGAAAACGCCCCCGGTTTTAAAGAAGAACGGGGTTAACCTTTGATGCACTGTAGCCTTGGCTTCAGCGTCCCTCCCCCCCTCCCCGGGAGCAAAAAAGGAACACAGGG